GGTTAAATTTTGGCAACAGGTTCTGTAAAAGATCAACCTTGATGCACTGCAATTTAGCGGATTGTCACCCCGCATTATGCAAATTTACGACACTTCTCAAACAGCCCTCGCATAAAGAATGTTACTGTAAAATAACATGCGTCACGCGCTCTACTTTAAGTTGCTGTAACTTGAGGAAGTTGGAGTTTATACATTTTTCAAATAAAAATTTTAAATTGTGGTTACCACCTCGTCAGATGTGCTAGAAGCTGGACCATTGCTAAAGATGTTTTTAATTTGATTTTAAATTTATTCTTAAAATGTTGCTTTTTACTTCCCTAGCGTATGCTAAGGAAGTATTGTAATTGAGTATCATTGGGCGAGTCGCTACTTTTATGTTTTCTTGACGTTTCGTGCCCCTAGGATACGAAAACATATATCTCTCGTTTCCGTCTGTCTACCATCTGTTCGCGTTTGTGGCGATTTTTATTAGACAGATAATCTTCTAAACTATCGAACCGATTGTTGTCGAATTTTGTATGTATATTTTAGGAATATCGTGTAGATAGTAAAACGCTAACCATAATTTGTCTCATCATCCCCACCAACGTCATCTCTAACTTTTATAGTAGTAAATGTTATTTAAATTTTATAAAAAATCATACTCCTCCACTTATAGTTTATAAATCCGTGTTCAATTTTTACTTCAGGTATACAGATTTTGGTAAAAAAATTGAAAATTGTATAACATTTTACAATTTAGCTTTGAAACTGCAGAACTCAGTGCCCTGAAATCTTGCAACCGTTTTAAAGTTATTGGAAACGTGGTAAGTCGTTAATCAAAATTTATCCGTTTATGTATGACTCTTCTAAAAACTGATGATTACATCTCAAAATTTGCCAAACAAATCTTATCTAAAATCTGCAAAATATAAAGAGTGTATACCGGTGATTTATCATTGTACTCATAATTTTTAACTGCTTATACAGGGTTAATAAAAAAAATAATGAATAAATTAATTTGTTTTATTAATCAAATCAAAAACTGCAAAACCTAATACTTCGAAGTGTTGCAGATGTTTTAAAGTTTTTGTAAGCCTTGTAAATTTGTAATAAAAATATATCTGTTTATCCCTTCCAAAAAATTGATGGCGTCATCTCGAAATTTTTTCAAAGAAAGTCTACGTATCGAAAACTTGTAATTTATCATTACATTCATATTTTTTACAAAAATATTTTTTAGAACTGCTCATACAGGGTGACTAAAAAACTGAAAGAGTCAATTTATTTTATTTATTAAATCAGAAACAGTTCCCTTTTCCCGAAAATTTAGAAATAAAATTGTAATTTTTCAAAAAAGCTGGATATGTTTTATTGTACTTCAGAGGCGAGGGAAGTTCTGTCGAAATAACCTTTAACAATTTTTTATGATTGTGATATATAACACGGAATATGATTAGGAAATAATGTAATTGAGATATTGAGAACTTCATAAATTTGACCGGATTAATATATTTTTATTTTGAAGAAATATTGTGAAGAAAAAAATGTACGTAGATACGTATATATGTCCGTTAGTTTTTACTAATTGAGACTTGTGACTTTTTGTAAGTAGATTTTAATACAAATGTAAATAGTAGTATACATTTTTCGTCTTTGAATTCAGTTTATGGTTGCACAGTAACAGTTGTATTGTCATCAACAGGAAATTTTATTTTATTGCAAGTATTGTGATAGATAGTATTATAACTTCATAACAAATTTATTTATTATTTAATAACTATAATAATTTTATATGCTGCGTAAATAGGAATTCAGTCAATTTATTACCAGATAAATAAATGTGATAACAATTTGTTGCCTGTTGCGTGTGTTATTTTAATGATAGAATGTAGTAGCTCGGAGAAGACAAATCTATAGTAGATCTTTAAAAGCAAAATGATTAATTTACTTATTTGACATAATCAGCATGCATGAGGAAAGAAACATTTTCCTCATTGCCTTAGTAATTAATAAGAGTATCAATTAAGGTTAAATGTTGAACAAATGATAGATTTTAGGTTGCTTTACTATTCGGTATTGCCCGAACATGTCGAAAAATAAAGTTATACAATATGAATTCTGAAGATAGTTAATAGTATTTAACATTACTAGCATGGTAGAAGGGTTTTTACTGGCGGACAGTAACCTTCTGGAGCCAGTAAAAACTCGTTACCTTGCGTGTATTGTTCAATATTTTATTTGTTTCTCACTTGTAAATAACTATTATAAATTATTAAAAACTCTAGAAGGTCCAATGTTTGAAGAAACATCGTATGAGCTTTAGACGTATTGCCTTGGAAACGCACGTCAGCATGGACTTGTCATAGCATTTACTGTGTTGTCTAGTTCTGTCATTTATAGTTTTCGATTTATCGTTTTCGATGTATTGAAATGAGTGTGGCGCAAGCTATATTATTGAGAAGCAGCAATTGTAAGTGAAAATTTACCTGAATCAATTTTGGCTGTCATTTCAACTTAGAATAGTTTAAATCTTATACTATTAAACGAGCAAAGTTTGTATATATATATATAAATATATATCTATATATATAATGGGTTTCTCAAAAACGGCTCTAACGATTTCGATGAAATTTACAGGTTGGGGGTTTTTTGGGTCAAGAAATCGATTGATCGTAGTTTTAACTTCTGAAAATTACAGCTTCATACATTTTCAGCAACTTTCAGGCAGTGAATTATATTTGTTGCTAGGCAACATCAGATGACACTACACGAACACGAGATTGTTTTATAAGAGAAGTTTGGGTGACAGTCTGACAGTACGTTTGACGTGCCTTTTTATCTTCAATTGTACGTACCGAAACATACTCCACTGTATAGAGCACGTTAAAATTCAACTCCTGAGGTGAGAAAATTTACGGAAAACTAAACAGTGAGCGGATGAAAGGCACACGAAAGAGCGTTGAATTGAGGTTATTGTCGAGCATTCATTTCAGAGGTTCCACGGTCGGAGTCAAAAATGTGATCGTTTTCCGGGATGGGACCGTGTTATTTGAGTTTTTGGGCTCAACGTTTCGCACGCTTTCATAAATGGCATCTTCGGGAGCAGGGTTGAGATTGAGAAATTAGGAATAACGCAAAAGGCACGGTAACTCAGTATGTTAACCACACCAGAGGCGAAACTATTCTGGCAGTAAGAATGTGGTAGTGACCTTTTTCTAGAGTCGAGAGAGAGAACTAGGAAAAAGAAAAGAACGACAGAGAGAGAACTTGGGTAACAAATGAGATTTTAATAAATGTCAAACAATAATTCCAGTTTTCTATTCTTTAATCTCTACATGTCACTCATCAGTATTTAAAACAAAGACTGCTTATGGAATTTCTTTTTTAATGTGTATTTTTAATTAGCGCGTCTACTTCAAAATGCATACTATACGCATATTTATCTGTCCTAATCTGATCTAATACTACTAAACGAGCCGAGTGAAGCTCGGTCAACCAGATATTGTTTAAAATACATGGCTGTATGAGCGCGAACAGGGCTGTAAAAATTTTACTAGCAGCCAGTAACATTTTTTACAGGCTATACTTTATAAGTGAGGAACAAATAAAACTGTCTTAATTGTCAATATACCAAAACGCATAAACAGCAAAAATTTACCATTATCAGTGAAGGTTTTGGTATTAATCCCATAGATTTATTATAGACGTCATGTGAGCTTTCGTCTCACTGACGAAAAAAAACTTATCACTATTGCACGTGATAAGTTTTTATTGAAATATTATCGTGGAAAATGTTCTCGACAAGTGGTCGGGATTATGCTTTTGGAGCAATTCCCAGAAAGATTGCAAGTTTTTTAAAAGTTGATGACCCAAAAAGTTACCCCGGACATGCATTCCGAATCAGTTCAACAACTATATTTGCAAATGACGGTATAATTTAAATGAACAAATTTTAAATTGAACGACGTAATTAACATACGGTATTCCAGGTGGAGCTACAACTTCCTTGAAACGGCATGATGGGTGGGAGTCTTTAAAAGTCGCGGAATTATATATTGATGGCGATATTGAGCAAAAGATCAAGACTGCTCAAAAGATATTGAGCAGCGAAAGTACTAAGGAGAATCTTGCATATAATGCATAAGTTAGCAACAGAGACTTTTCCTCTCTCACTCTCAACATAGTGAAAATTTGTATTTTCAAAACTGTACCTTTAATTTTAATCTAAAAGATAAAAATCAATAAACAATGCTTGAATGCTGAACCGTATTTTAAATAGACTATAAGATACATTACCTTTGACAACGTATCTTACGAGAATAACCTAGTTTTTATGGCAAACTTAACACGCATGTCCACATGCACCACAGAAACGGTTTAAAATTTAGTGTTAGAAAATATATTGTTACGATGAGCGGGCGAATAAAATCCGCGTAGGTTAAAACTCAACAATTTATTTCTTAATAACTCGTATTTACACGACTAACCATTGCAACGATTATGTACAGAAATTATTTCGGTGAATTTCACTTCCCCAAAGATGGACTCTATTTAAACAGTACGCGGTCCTTCTCGAAACCCTACGTCACCGCTTGTAGACTTCTCCGGAATCCCCATTCGCGACTTCCATTTCCAGGCGTTTCTTTAGCGTTCCGTTGCTCAGTCGCATTAAGCATGAATCATCACCGGCGTAAGATAAGAGAGTTCTCGACGGCCTTAGGCGTCGTACCGAGGCGGCGCAAGGGTGTATTTCCTAACAATATTATTTATTAGGTCCTGAATACTTAAAAGTTTTAGTATATTTCGAATCAGATTTGATAGCTGAAGATATTAATAGGTAGTGAAAATATTTTGATTGAGAATCATTGCACTGAAGTGTGTGAACACTGTAGTGACATAATAAGCAATGCACTAAAAACGAGACCGGTTTCACCTTACCAAGCAATTACGCCTTTTAGATTTGTATTACTTTCATCTAATTTTCAGAATATTAAATTTGATTCTATGATTTGTTACAGTTCTGCAAGTCTTCCAGTTACGATACAATGTTTAGAAGAAAACAACGGAGTTGATCCAAGAGTAGCTCGTTTCGCAGTGCCAATTGGAACAGCGATTAATATGGACGGTACAGCAATATATGAAGCAGTTGCTGCAATTTTTATTGCACAAATTAGACAGCTTGAATTATCAGTTGGAAACTACATTGCCATTAGTATCACAGCAACAGCAGCCAGTATAGGTGCTGCAGGTATACCTCAAGCAGGTCTTGTCACATTAGTAATGGTTCTGGATACTGTTGGTTTGCCGGCTGAAGATGTTTCCTTGATCTTAGCTGTGGACTGGCTATTGTAAGTACTTAAAAAAACATCGTAAAATTATTAACATAGAACTTTTGTCGCTTCTGAAACAAAACTATATAGTTTAGCTCTTTAGAATTTATGAAATGAATCTTTTGGTGTTGTAAAAAATACGTATATTAATTTAATGAATACGACTAAGATGTATTTATTTATTTATCCTTCTAGAAAGTTAAAATAGTGTTTAGAGATGGAACGTCATTCGCGATTTTATAATTCGTTTTATTTTTTAGAATCAATTATGCAGAACAAAAAAATAAAGAGAGGATCAACTAAGTTTATCGATTAAGTCCAAAATGTTTCATCTAATTTGCCTACAATTCTGGGACCACAGTAGAATTTTTATTTATATTAAAAAAAAGAAAATTTGCGGAATCGTGTTTTACGTAATGTCTTTGCCATTTCTATTGAAATACCACTTGTTGAACGTAAATTTGACAACGTTCATATTCAGACAATTTTGTAACTAAAAGCCGTTGTCAATCAACCGAAAGCTGGTACCAATTGCTAAATTTTAAGCAAAATCAACAGGTGGTGTTTCAATAGAAAGGGCAAAGACAATATATATCGACTTTTCTGATGAGATTATCTTCACAGAGTTGATCAAAGTTACCGATAAGAGTTCTTCAGGCTTTGACGGTATTACATCCCTTATAAGTACTTAAACGGGTGTGCTAGTGCTGTTAGTGGCCTTCTTCGTTTATAATGTCATGCTTATTCCAAACATCAAGACTTCGATAATATGACTTAAGGCACAAGTTACTCATGTTTTTTTGACATTACATTTGATAGAATACGGGAGAATGTCTTGTAAGTTGCAGTGTTTTGCTTTTGATTTTCGTCATTTGTCAAATGTGTTTCACTACTTGTCAAATCTATTTCTTCTTTTTATTAAATAATGCGCTATGATACTTAATGAAATTTTACAGTAGAAATTTTCTTAATTCACTAATATTTCAAAACATGGTTTTTTTATTGCGATATTCTATTATTCTATGAGCAGAGATGCCATAATATCTTTGTCTTTATGATATACGAAATATAGCGCAATGAGAGGACGTTCGCTTTGAATGAGAAAGCTTCGTGTTTTGTTCTGTTATTTTAGAGACTATCCATTAAATTAATTAACCCCATAACTTTACATTATACATAGGTATTACAATTAATGTGTTTATTCTTACCAAAACTTTTTTATAAACCTTTGCATAAATAAGCTTTAAATAAGCTGTTTAATAACTTTAATGCCATCTTTTTCAATGATTATAAAGCTACTTATTTCGGCGCATATTTCGCTCTAATAAGCTGGTATTTATCTTTGTTTTATAAGTAGTTGTTGCCCACACTAGTTGATGACTTGACAAGATACTCTATTTTCCTTATTAGACGATGAGTCAGTGATCATAAAATGCTTGGGAGAATAAGATTTGAGAATGAAGGCAGACAAATTTCTATGCTACAAAGTTCTGATTATTACAAGAGCCTCTTCACTGCAAAATGTCAATGAATGCCATTTTTCGGTATTGAGCAGAATTCCTGCTTTAAAATAACTCTTAAGCTGAATAGCGTAAGAGTTATTTTAAATAATATTATCTTGATTATTTACAAAATCATGTGTGCATTTATTAAAATTTGTATTTGAATTACACGCTCAGAGAATAACGTCATAAAATTATGAAAATTGCATTGGAGAGAGATTTTGTTGACCTATTATAATGTGAAATTAGATTAAATGGTATTTTAAATAAAAAACACAGTTTTAACTTAATTAAATATGTCAACCACATTCCGAAGACTGAACATATACGATGCCACTTTTTAGAACCAAATACCCACTATTAAGTGTGCGAAATAGTTATTTATGTACCAAGAACGAAAAAGTGCCTATTATAGACGAGTCTGAAGGTTCAAACAAGCGAGGCTATAACAGGCAGTTTTATATTAGGTATTACATTTTTCAATCGACCTTCCCGATTCTAGCAAATTAAAAGTACAACAATTCTTTATTTTCAATATAATACTCAAAATTACAATTATAATGTTTATGTTAATCGCACACCGTGCTAAAATAATCCAAACCGACTCCACACTGTGCCGTATCCAAAGCGGACGAAAATGTTGGGGAACAAAAAATGTTAGCGTCAGCGGATGAAAAAGGCTTGTGGACGAAAAAGTGTTCAAAAGTGACATTTTTGTCCGAAAATAAGTACGTTAAAGATCAGTTTTGGAAAAATATATTTTTAGTAAATTCTGATTGTCTTTTAAGACTATACATCTAGAGCAACAACTAGAACTTTATCTCTGTAATAGTTTTCCTAAATGAAAAGTCATGTTAATTTTAATAATAATGAAAAAACTTTCAGAGTTTAAATAATATATTTGTAGTCATTGCTACACGTGTTTCGGTACACAGTACCGTCTTCAGGCAGAAGAGAAATTGGGGTTTTACAGAGCTATTCCTGAATTTATACCTGATTTAACAATGGTGTTTTCAAATTTATGTTAAGTAAGGGAGATTTGTTTATTTCGGTTTGGTCGTTCATTAGTGTATTTAATCTATTGTACCTATTTATTTCCAGACATTCTAACGCGTTTAATTTTGCGCCTTTATTTTCTATGTGTAAAATTTTGAATTCGTCGTTGAAATTATGCTGTTCTTGGATAAGGTGGTTCGCGTACGTAGAATTTGATTTTTTGTTGACAAATGCTGATTTATGTTCTTTTATAACTTTCTTTAACATAAATTTGAAAACACCATTGTTAAATCAGGTATAAATTCAGGAATAGCTCTGTAAAACCCCAGTTTCTCTTCTGCCTGCAGACGGTACTGTGTACCGAAACACGTGTAGCAGTGACTACAAATATATTATTTAAATTCTGAAAGTTTTTTCATTATTATTAAAATTAATATGGAGTTTAAACACGTATCAGCCTCATCAATACAAACAGAAAAGTCATGTGTAACAATTTTCTATTCTTCTTGTTTGTTTAAAGTGATACTTGTCTTTAATCATTTTAACCTAAATTTTTACAAATTTTCAGTTGTGTTGTATATGACAAATTCCAAAAATGCTTGGAATCGAGAATGATCGAGATCTAAGTATAATCACGTTATGCACTTTTGGACTAATGTTATGTCACTGATTTGCAGTAGATTGAGTATCCTATGTTTAGATAAAGTAAACAAGTGTGAATGTTTTTCGGAAGTCTAATTAATTTTTGAGAGATAAAATTTCGTCTTATAATCAGTTAATAAGAATTTTTGTTAATGTTTTAGAGATCGCTTTAGGACAGTTATCAATGTAATGGGAGATGCTTTCGGAGCTGGTATTGTCAATCATCTAAGCCAAAAAGAACTAAATACCCTACCGGACGATCCATAACGCATGTGGGACAATAGGATGTATCTAAATGTAACCAAATAGTATCAGTGGTACTTATCTATAAAGTAATTTATGATTTGAAGAATGTAATAATATAATTAGATGTTATTAAAAAATAACAGGCTCATTTTTTAGTCTCATCTCAAAATACATAAATTTCTCCCCGTCCCTTCCCACCGACCCTATATAAATTATACTAAATGACATTAGAAATGCAATACCGAGAAATAACGACTAACATTTAACAATTTATGTTGTGTAGGGCTGATATAAAGAATGCTCTGATAAAAGTTTCCGTCTTTTATCTCTAACAATTTTAAATGTTTTGTCCTGGCCCTCCAGATTTCCTGGATTCTTCTGGATTCTTAATTTATGGGGGGCTGACCGTGGCCAGCCGGCACTTAGGCCTCGCCTTTGGGCCCATTGTACCTTCCCCAAGTCCATATCAGGGTGTTTTCCCGCTCCTCTACTCGTCAAGCCACCCAACTGCTTGAATGTACTTCAGTAATGCAGAGGGTGGAAACTCCCTGATATTTGCCATACTAGGCCAGATGTCCCCTAGTATGGATTCTCTGTAGGAGGCTAGGGCTGGACACTCACGAAGAATGTGCTCAGCTGTTTCCTCTTCTTCATTGCATCGACGACAGATTCTGTCTGTTACCACCCCTATCGTATGTAGATGTTTGTTAAACTGGTAATGTCCCGTAAGGAATCCTACCAGTTTACGCAGTTTGTCCCTTGAAAGTGAGAGATAAAATTTCGTCAACTTACGGTCTGGTGTCGCCATACAAGCTCTACTATGCCGACAGCTGCTCAACTTCACCCATATCTGCTCATGGCGTCTCTGGGTATATTGCTTTACGAGTTCGTTCGAGAGGGCGACCGAAGGCGTGATTGCCGGTTCGGGTCCCCAGAAGGGCATGCGCGCGACTTGCTTCGCCATCTCATCTGCCCTTTCGTTTCCTTCGTTGCCACTGTGTACTTTGATCCAACAAAGTTCCACACTATTCCTCTGCGTTACATACTTTAGCGTTTGTCTGCACTCCCAAACCAGCCCGCATCGAACCATGCAGCTGTCCAGGGCTAGTAGTGCCGACTTGCTGTCAGTAAGTATGCGTATTGATTTGTTGCCGATTTCACGTTCAGCAATGATTCTAGCTCCCAGCATTATTCCCATCAGTTCTGTTTGTAAGACAGACGTGTAGGTGCCGAGAGGTACACTGACTTGTGCGTTCAGTTGTTCGGAGTAGATGCCGGCTCCTGAACCACTATCTGTTTTGGCACCATCGACATAGATATCTATGTCGGCTCGTCCTTCTGAATTATCATTCATTGATATTCTATATGTCTTCTCATATATTAATTTTGTGCCCATTCGGTCACAACTCATCCTTAACAAGAGTATTCTGTTGAACGCCTCCGTTAAGATCCGAGTGTGCTTCGTTGTGCGGCCTTGCTTGTTCCATACTCCCAGAGAGTGAAGTCTTAGAGACGTCGTCATTGCCGCTTCCTCTATGTAAAGGTTAAGAGGTGCTAAGCAAAGAAGAGTCTCCAGCGCCGCTGTGGGAGTGGTCCTCATTGCTCTTGTAACACTGAGACACGCCATTCTCTGAACGTGTTCTGGTTGCAGGGCTGTTGTTTTTTGTCTGGCTCTGGGCCACCAAACTAAAGCTCCATAGCACAGCATCGGTCTGACTATTGCCGTGTAGATCCAGAGGGCGATCTTGGGATTTAAACCCCATGACCTTCCCACCACCCTACGACATTGCCAAAGAGCCGAGCGTGCCTTTTCCACTTTATCATCTACATGCTTCTTCCAATTCAGTCGCCAGTCCAATACAACTCCCAGGTATTTGACTTCGTCCGAAAGTTGAAGCGTTGTGTTAAGTATTTTTGGCATCTGTAGTGTGCCAATTTTCCTTTTCCTAGTGAACAGGATTAGTTTCGTCTTTTCTCCATTAACGGAGAGGGTATGCCTGCTGCACCATTCCTCGACTATTTTTACTGCAGCTTGCATTACCTCACATAATGTATCTGCGTTTTTTCCTGTTAGCAGAATGACTAGATCGTCCGCGTATCCAATTGTGTGGTAGTCAAGATCATTGAGGCATCGTATCAGGCTGTCAACGACAGTATCCCATAGTACAGGAGAGAGAACTCCTCCCTGAGGACATCCCCTGTGTACAACAGCCTCGATCTCAGTGCCACCTACATTAATCATTACTTCCCTATTTCTCAGCATACCGGCCACCCACCTACTTAGGGTGGGGTCCACGTCGTGCTCTCGTAGGGTTAGTTCTATGCTTTTGAAGGTCGTTTTATCAAACGCTCCTTCAATATCCAAAAACATTCATAAGGTGAAGCCCTACTGTGTGTAGGGCCGTATCGGTGGATCTTGCTTGGATGTAGGCATGTTGGTTCGAATGTAGAGGTTGCTTGCTCAAAGCAGTCTCCCGAATCTCTTTTTCGCTTAGTCTTTTTAGCGTTTTCAGCAAGAATGATGTTAAGCTACCTCCAGATTTCCTGATTTAAACTCCATCGAACATATATGTGATATGATGGGATACTAACAACCTTAGAAAGTCCTCCATAGACCTTAGTTTCGCTACAACCACAAATTCAAGTTGCTTGGGATGAACTACCCCAGGAGGAAGTAATGGAATCGATACCCAGGCGTGCCAACAAATGCATTAACAATGGGGGTCACCAAACGAACTATTAATTTTTGTTTGTTTATATTTTCTTATGATTGAAATTTTAACTTTACTAATTTACGACTAATAAATGACAGTGAAACGCACTTCAATTTTTTTTATTTCTCGGCGTTGCATTTCTAGTGCCATTTAGTATACAGGGTTATTCAGCTAAGATGACCCATTTGTGTTTTTAAATTAGGCAACCCATAATACCGATTCCACTTAAGCCTGGATTACAAAAAATGTTTCAAAATTGAATTGTATCAAAGTTTGCTTATAAGTGTATAGAAACGTCAGTGTCAGAGAAATGCCTATGCACTCTTACGATAATAACGAGAAAACCGACATTCGATTCTAAAAGAGATTTTTGTGGGCAAATTGTGTTATTTTATTGCCTGGTAGGTGAACGAAACACATTCAATAAATTTAAGACTGTCATGCAACTGTAATAAATTGCTGACTTTGGCTTCATCACTGAACAAAACACATTCAATAAAATTGGGATTAATTTGCATTTGGTTTCTTATAAAGTTATAAAAATCCAATCTTTGCAGTTAGTTTGTGGATCGAAGTGGATGCTCCAGGTACAGATGTTTAGAATGGTTAGGATGAAATTTATTATTTATTATCTAACAATAGCAATTTGTCCCATAACTCCCATATGAGGATTCTCATTAACTTGTGCAAGAAGTTATACTTCTTTTTCCAAGCTAGTTGCAGTCTGGTTCCGTTTCCTCTTGTTAGCAGACCACTTTCTTACGCAACGAATTTTCTAGCCCCTTGAAAATTTTGGGTGTTGGGGCCACACGGTCAGGGTACCTTCGGGCATACAATTGTACCGTACGCCTAGCCTTTTTGTGTCATTCTCCATAACGCGTCCATAACTAAGGATCTTGTCGGTTTTCTCGTTATTGAATGCATAGGCGTTTTTCTGACACTGACGTTGACTGACGTTTCTACATTTAGCAAACTTTGATACAATCTAATTTTTGTAATTCAGTTTCAGGTGGAATCGGTATTTTGGGTTGCCTATCTTAAAAACATAAATGGGTCGTCTTAGCTGAATAACCCTGTATGTATAATAAAACGTGGGTGAAAGAAAAAAATATCTTTCGATGTAACACGCATGAATTTCAAACATGTGGTATGCCATATCAGGAAATCACATACTACCTATTTGTTGTAAAAAAACGTTAATTTTGGTCCTCACGTTAAAAATTGATATTTTTGTTTGTGTTTATTATACTTATATTTTTTTATTATGCTTTTAAATTTGTTATCGAAGGTAGTTGAAGAAAACGATAGAGACGAATTGGAAGTCATGGAAATCCTAGGATGATGAGACCGATATGATTGAGACAAAAACTAGAATGAAGTGAAAGCGAGGCATAAAAAACAAGAGGAAAACAATCATCGAAAAGTTAACCTGAGGTGTAGTATTGAAGCAGTACGACTTTTGTCTAAGACTAAGAGCTTCATTCTAAAGTCAAGCGTAACGGAGTCGAAGACAAGGAAGATGACAATTTGAGCCAATATCTAAGGATAGCTGCTTTCAAAGTATGAGAGTAAAACTACCTGGAAAGCTGACTTGACTTAGTACATAGATGGGCCATAAAATCGCTTTCGGATAAAGACAAAAAGCGATGTCTCTCAAACTTGGAAGGACTTAAAAGAAGCTGTCAATCATTCCAGGGTCAAGTCAAGTCAGTTTTCCAGGTAGTTTTACTTTCTTATTTGGAAAGCAGCTATAATTACTAGAGACGTGCAGTTTTAGTTCATGCGACTCTCACCACTTTCCTTCACTAGCGCGCGATGTTATTGTTTCTCTTCGCCCATCAACAAGAAAATGTCATTGATTTGGCTTAAAAAATGAAGTATATGTGCTGAAACAGGAGTTTTTGTTTGCTATTCAAGACCAAGTAATTAAGTAATACCAAAATTCCAGAAAATATGTACTTAATCAAAGATCCAAATATCAGAAACGATGGTTGTCGACTTTGTAAAGAGAAACCCGAAACGATTCAGCACATAACTTAACCCTGTAGCATCCTAGCACAAACTGACTACAAAGCAAGACACGACAACGCAGCCAAAATCATCCACAAAGACTTAGCAATAAATTTAAACTTAGTCCAAGATACTACATCCTATTACACTTCCATTCCATCTCCATTTTTTGAAAACACCGAAAACAAGCTATATTGGGATCGTACAATACTTACACACAGAAAAATTACACTCAACAGACTATATATAATACTTTTAAAGAAACACACAAATGAAACCATCTTTAGTGACATTGCTGTTCCTAAAACACAGAAGATAATACAAACATGTTCCACACCAAAATTTCAAAATATCTACAATTATTATCAATAGAAATGAAGGCAATGCTAATTCTTGAGAAAATTTTAATTACACCTTTAGTTATCTCTTAAGTAGTTTAGTTGAGAATTTGAAATATTTACACCTAAATGATTAAAATGTAAAAAGCTGTTTTGTTAGGTACATGCCATTTTGTTCGTAAGTTTCTCGAACAGTTTGCCATGTCAATTAGAATAGGTTAGCACCAGTAGGTCAGAGTAGTGTAAGTCACTTTTCAAGTGATGTGCGGGTCAGTAGTTACTGCTATAATCTGGGATTTCAAAAGTTTACTACTTGGTGTTGGTACCCGTAATGATAGAAGTCTTGCCTGAATGCCGGTCATTTCCGGGCCAGAGCTGGGTCCTAACATAAAAGGTAGACACTTGAAGGTTGTACCACCAAACATCATAAAAAGTTCTCCATAGATATTTCTTGTGACGCTTTTGGTGAGCACAGCAAAAAATAATTTTTAAAAAGACATTATTAAATCGGGAACACAACTATTCTAAAAACTCTATTTAACTTATGTTTGCATAAATCGCATCGTTACACCCGTTTTTAGCCGAGTACTCAAAGTCGGCAAACAGACAAATAAATCCGAGTTATTAATAGTGGCAAAATTATTCTAAAATGAAGATATAACACTTTTTTCGGCGAAAACTGAGGTTGCAGAAGACAATTTTATCTCCAATTGTGTCACACTTTCATGATAAATTCATTAGTTCGTCAATACTGTATTTAGAGACTTATTATTACGGGTAGATAGTTTAAATAAATACACGTTGCAATATATGTTATCTACATAACATAAAAAAGAAAGACAAACAATTATTATGTTTTATCTAAATAATTTTCCCACAGTTAAAATTTTTATGTACATGTCCTTCAGTTGCGTTGCAGGTGTTTAGCGCAAAACTTAGCAGTCCTTTTTGTTTTTTAAACACACACTGCATATCGTTTTGAAAACGAAAAATGGAGGAAAATAATATACCGAAACCTCTGTCTGAAGTGGCAATACGTGTAAGTGACAAAAACGATTCTAATAAACTAGTGACGTGCTTGAAAACCAACATTTTAACTCTGGCGACTGTAGGAGGTGTAATATGTGGAATTATTGTGGGTATTATTTTGAAAGAAACTGTAGGTACATTCACGAAGAGAGAAGTGATGTACGTGAGTTTTATAGGAGATGTATTTTTGAGAATGCTCAAGTCACTGATATTGCCTTTAATTGTTTCTTCTTTGATATCGGCAATAGCAAGTTTAGACATATCGTTATCCGGGCGAATTGCTGCAAGGGCAATTCTTTTTTATTTAACAACAACATTTATGGCAGTCGTCCTTGGAATAATTCTGGTAGCCACCATTCAACCAGGTTCGAATCATAGTGGTGGCAACGCCATGACAGGAAATGAAAATGAATCTCAGAGAAATGTAACAACAGTAGATACATTGCTAGATCTTGTCAGGTACGTTTGGTTTGAAAATTTTCTTTGTATACAACTTTCGCAAACATTTGAATAAAAACTAATATCCATAACTCTTGCCAAGTAAATAACAATTAAACAGCTTGACGTATTTCTTACTAGTAATAATATCATAGGGATACATACATATAGAACATGGTAGAAATAAATGATAACTCAGGTTTGTGCTAATATTTATCATGATTGTGAGTTTGCTCAATGCTTGAATTTTTTGTAAACTGTAATGCTATATTTTCACATTTGACATCTAGAGCGTGTGTTATACCAGAGCCATTCTGTCCATAAAATACAGCGTTTAATATTTTTTGGTTTATTCAGTTTGATTAATTCAATTTTACAGTTGGTCTAAAATATTAGGTACATGACAAATTCACGAAATTTTTACATACATATTTATTTAGGGATTACAGAAAATTGATATCAGCTCAGGAAATTGTTAAATAGGTCTTTATCGAAAGATACATCCCCAAATGTGCTGCTGCTTGCTGTAAATAATATAACTTTATTTTTACTTCCGGAGCATAACGGAGTATTGTAATCGAGCCCATCGGGGATCATCAAAATTTTAAACGTTTTTGACTTCCCAGGCACTTTGAGAATATTATAATAGGGTGCATCCGACGAATGGCTATTTTCAGGTTTTCTCGCCGTTTCATGATCCCTACTAGAGTACGAAAAAGTAGGTCTGGGGTTTTTGCTGTCTGTCCTCTGTTGCTATCGATTTTTATTTGACACATAATAATCATATTCATTTGTTAATATGTATACATTTATTATTAATACTATTGTTATTTTCAGGAACATGTTTCCCCCGAACGTAATTCAAGCATGTTTGGAGCAGGTAATAGTTGTAAAAAGTCATTTCGTTAAAAATTGTATCAGAATAATGAAGTTTAAACAAAGACACATATGTTTAACATTCTGTCAAAAATTAAGACTATGTTTTTTTAAGGTGCTTATTAATTAATAATATAGTAACCATAACTGCTGTGGCAGGGCAATACAGATTTTTTCAATTTTCATTTAATTAAGGAATTTGTAAAAATTACCTTTTACAAATATCTCCTACAAAATAGTATTCATTATAAAGTGTATACTAATTCCAAATTAAAAAAAATAGTAATATAATTGTGAGTGAGACATGTTCTTATAATGGCGTTATCTTTTTATTATAACAATTTAATCAGACATGCTATCTTCATCCACTTTCTATACGTATTTCCTTTTTTGAATGTAGACTCGCACTACTCTGGTTGCCCCTGCTAACGATATTAATGAACAAGGTATGTTACTAATAATAATTTAACTGATTATGAAAGTATAAAACTAATTGTTGACTAGATTTATTCAAATGGGATATTATAGAAGAAACTGTCTCTGGAACTAATATCCTTGGCCTTGTTGTGATCGCCGTTGTAGTTGGAATAGCTTTGGCACAACTCGGAGAAGAGGCGAAGACTTTGGCAAATTTTTTTCACAGTTTAATGGCGTTAAGCATGAAAGTAACTTCTTGGATTATAAAATTGTCTCCTGTCGGAATCTTGTTTCTAGTAACAGCTAAAATAATGGAAATGGAGGATATGGGATTGGTGCTGGGTCAGCTGGGATTATATTTTGCAACTGTAATGATAGGAATTTTGATACAAGGTTTCATAATACTTCCATTGATATACACTATACTTACAAGAAAATCTCCGTTTCGGTACGTGGTAAACATGAGTCAAGCCCTCGCTACCGCTTTTGGAACGGCTTCAAGGTATGATATGACCATTTGTTAGCGTTTTGAACGTCTGTGTAATCTATTGCACATTTTCCTTTCAAAATATAGAAAAATTTTGTTGCAAAATTTCTTATATATATATATATGTATATAAATTTGATCGTACTTTACGGAGTAACGCTGTGCTGTTTAAACGGCTCTTATTAATGTTTTATATTTCTGGGATAAATGTATTTCATATAACATTTTAAATATAAAACATGTATCTATATTGAGAAAAAGCTACATTTTTCTCTCGTATGAGTGAGATGCCGTAGTTGAGAGCTGACGTAGATTACGATGGAAAACAATGTAAAACGGGGTACGTGCTTTACGGAAAGCCCTAAGTCTAATCGTAACATTTTTTTATAGATAGAATTTACGAGAAAACTCAATGTATCTGCCTTTAAGTTTTTTAAAAAAAGTAGATTTAAACACAGTTTTTAAGCTTGACAATTCCTAACATTTTGGGTGTTTATATTATTTATGATTTATAAGTAAAATTTGAAAATTTTCCTTCGATACATCTGTAATGAAGTTTTTAAAAAATCAAAATCAAAACGTTTTTAGGTACTCTTTTCAGAATTACAGTAGGTACTTATCATATGAACTTGAAACTTTTTTAATGTATAATATCATTGTGTCTGTGTCAATTCTCACTGACAACATGGATACGACAGTAAATGAACTTTCGACCAGATCTCATTACTTATGTACCTACTCAGTTTTAGTGATACGTTATTTCCGACGATTAGTAAATCAGGAATTAAATTAACTACTTATAGTATCTTTTCGTGTTAAATAACAGTGTAATAGCAAAAATATTAAATCCGGATGTCTGATTTTTTGCAGTTCGGCAACTCTACCGATTACAATACAGTGTTTAGAAGAAAAAAATGGAGTTGATCCACGAGTAGCTCGTTTTGCCTTACCAATTGGAGCAGCTATTAATATGGATGGTACTGCACTGTATGAGGCAGTAGCTGCAATTTTCATTGCACAAACTCGCCAACTTGAATTAACAGTTGGAAACTATATCGCTATTAGTATTACTGCTACAGCAGCTAGTATAGGTGCTGCAGGTATACCTCAAGCAGGTCTTGTAACTTTAGTAATGGTTCTGGATACTGTTGGTCTTCCAGCTGAAGATGTTTCGTTGATATTAGCAGTGGATTGGTTGTTGTAAGTATTTTTTAATTAACGAATAAAATTTATCTTGTCTGTTAACCTACGTACACAGTAATGTTTACATACATATACTAGCAGCTAGGCTTTTAGATCAAGTAAACTAATAATCATTAGTTTTCGTCATTGCTTTGATGAATTTTCTTGTTTTGTTTTACATTTTGTAAGTATATTGTCATTGATAAGAATAGTTGTATTAATATCAATTGGAATAATGAAGAAAAGAAAGCAATAATCAGTTTTCCAAACGAAATACGATTTTTATTAAATTATCAGTGATATAGGGCTATGCGGTTGAAATTTAAACGCTCCGTATTGACTTCCACTACGGCCGACCAGTGGCTCGCAGCCGATGTTCGTATCGCGAAGAAAATTATGAGAAAACTAGTGTGAACTGAAGGTCAGTTGATGATTTCGAAATCCAGATGCACGAAATAGTACCAATAATAGTTTTAATAATTTTCAAGTGTAGGTCTCGTTGAAAACAAATTATTTGTGTACTTTACCAAAAATAATGCACAATTGGAAAGCGAGAAGAGAGAAGACAAGGCTGTAGCCTCCTGCACTATGGACGGGTAGCGGGGATAAATAAATTTCGACCGGCCAGCTCTATGTTATCAGTGTTATCACCAGAGGGCGGCGACCTTGGAGTTAAGAACTGTGCGGACCACCACATGTATGCACATGACCAGCACGGCACGGTCTCGATCAATTCGTCGGCCGACTACACTGCATTTGGATTGCAGTCTTATCGCTTGTTTTTCAGGTGCAATACGCACCTGTACATAGGCGTCGAGTACTCCTTGCACATCAAGCGCTTGGAAGTGGCGCAATCGCGCAGTATTCATTTGTAAAATAGCAAATTTGTAACCAAAATGTGTTTAACATTTTAGTTTCTTATATATATTTGTGTGGAGGTTTTTCAGTATACTTTTCATTTTTACGAATCTTATTTTGATTTTTTTATTCCATTTTTAATAGAAGCAGCGTTTTATATTATTTTTACTTCCCGAGCGTAAGCAAAGGAAGTATTGTAATCGAGTCCGTCGGCCGACTCTCTACTTTTACGTTTTCTCGATCTTTCATGACCCCTAGAAGACGAAGAAATAGGTCTCCCATTTCCGTCTGTCTGTCCGTCTGTCCGTCCGTCTGTCCGTCCGTCTGTCCGTCTGTCCGTCTGTTGTCCCGGATTTTTATTAGACAGATAATCTCCGAAAGTACTCGACCGATTGTTGTGAAATTTTGTACTTATATTAAGAATATCATGTAGATGGTAAAACGCTAACCAAAATTTGTCTAATCATCCCCACCACTAAAGCGATGACGTCACTTCAAAATTGTACATAGTAAATGGGTTTTCAATTGTATAAAATAACATAGTCCTACACATGTAGTTTACAACTCTGAATCGACTTTTCACCCGAAACGTCCAGATTTTTGGAAAAAAAATCAAAATTATAAAACAACATTTTGAAATTTAATTTTTAATCTGCTAACCAGAATGCTTTGAAATGTTGCAGATGTTTTAAGGCTATAAAGAGCATCATAAATCTTTAGTCAAAAAATATTTGCTTATCCCCTCCAAAAACTTGATGACGTCAGCTCAAAAGTTTGTGGAATAAATCATATCTAAAATGTACAAAATATGATGAGTCTGTACTTGTGATCTATCACTCCATTCATATTTTTTGGATTTGCATATACAGGGTGACTCAAAAAAATTAATGATTGCGTAAATATATTTTATTGATTTAATCAGGAACTACAAAACCGAATGCTCTGAAATCTTGCAGATGTTTTAAGGTCATAAAGAGCATAATAAATGTTTAGTCAAAATATATTTGCTTATCCCCTCCAAAAACTTGATGACGTCAGCTCGAAAGTTTGCCGAATAAATCATATCTAAAATGTACAAAATGTGATGAGCCTGTACTTGTCATTTATCACTCCATTCATATTTTTTGGATTTGCATATACAGAGTGACTCAAAAAAATTAATGAATGCGTAAATATATTTTATTGATTTAATCAGGAACTACAAAACGGAATGCTCTGACATCTTGCAGATGTTTTAAGGTTATAAAGAGCATAATAAATGTTTGGGAATATTTTAAAGTTATTATAAGCATGGTAAACTTTTGTTCAAAATGTATTTGTTCATCCCTCCTAAAGAAATTGATGACGTCACCTTTAAATTTTGCTGAATAAATCCTATCTAAAATGCAAAAAATATGATGAGTTTGTACTTGTGATTTATCATTCCATTCATATTTTTTAGATTTTCTTAAGAGGTGGTTCAAAAAAATTAATGAAGTCAATTTATTTTATTGATTAAATTAAAGGCAACACTTATTATTAGTATTACACCCCAACCAACCCAATTTGGTAGACACAAAATTTGTTAAAGGGAAAACTCGGTTGAAACATAAGGGTAGCACGCTTATTTACATCGACTTTTACATTACAGACCTGCATTTGTTTTATGCGTTTACTTGGTTCCGCGAATGTGAAATAGACATGTTTATAATCAACCAATTGTGAATTTCACCGTCAAGAATTAAAATAAAACCCAATGTTTTATACATATAATAAGCGGAAGTCGAAGCAATAAAACCGATGGTCGTTTTGTTTACAGTTTCTCTGTTTGACTCTCACGTATGCTGTTACGCCTGTCATCTTAAATTAAGAATGTTTATACATACACGATTTTCAGTTGCCTCTGATACGTATACGCGAGTAAATTGTTTCGTTATTTTATTGATTATTACAAATCAATATTCAAAACGACCCAATTCATTTTCCCGAAAATTTGAGAATATAATAATTTTATTCTTAGTATTACACTACATCTATCCCAACTGATATACGTGTCCTTGCAAAAATGTTGATGACGTCATCGCAATTTTTTTTTTAAATTCCCACTACAAAAATGTAATGAGAAAAAAAACACAATAGGCATGCAGTCGTCAAGTTTCCGACAGCGAGGGAAGTACTGTCTAAACTCTTTAGACCAATTTTTTTATAATATAATATTTAAATATTGCACAAAATTGTCAAGATTCATGGAAAACTATAATTTATTTCCACTCTGAACTTTTAAAGTTGCATGATGCTTTATCAAAATTTCAAAGTATTGTGACCCAATTTAAAAGGCTTCCAGTTGAATTTGGGAAGAAATTAAAAATGAAAGTAGAATCTGTTTTTCGGAGCACTCCCGGTTTAAACACTTTGCATCAGTTTTGCGACGGCATGACAGAGCCAAACATTAGAACAAAATACGTATGAAAATTTGCTCCCATTTTTTAATTACGGTCCCATAACCAGTTGTGACGTGGATCGTTCATGTTCTAAATTGAAAGACTTATTAACCCCCAAAAGAACACATTTTACAGAGGAAAATCTCGAGCGAGCGCTAGAGCTTGAGCGTGCTGCGAAAACTTTGTACGGCTATGGATTAAAACGGCTTCGCCGTTCACTGGTTATCACATATATGTCTATGTCAAAACGTGTTGATCTAACGGACTGTAGCTCGTTTGTTTAAAACCGATAATAAATAATTATTATAGTATTTGATTCATAAAGGTTTTTACGTAATTTAAAATGTATGTATGACAAAGAGATTTTTATAGCTTGTGTTTTGGCCAGAGATGTAGAAATTGTAGGTAAATAACAGTATAATGACCAAAATCTTTATTTCCAAAATATTTACGAATTAAGGGCTGTTCAGAAAGCAATAACAATCAAGGACTTTTATGCTTTTGCGGTGGTTATAGCACTTATAGCCCTTAACAGAACATTGTACGTACTGTTACGTTGCTCGGTGAATAAAATCGGCGTCGGTTAAACTCAACAATTTATTTCTTAGTAACTCAAATTTACGACTCGAATTACACAGCGATTATATACAAAATAACGTGGTGCAACTTGAATTCTTGAACGATCCCCTGGTCCCGACGGTGGCCTTTATTTAAAGGCTTCGAGGGTTTTCTCGGGCCGTCGCGACATCCGCTTTCAAGCTTTCCTTTAGTGAACGCCACGTCGCCCGGCCGATGAGTCCTACTACATACTAGAAGAACCACATAGACGTCGTACCGGGGCGGTGTATGGGTTTATTTCGTAACACTGCCCCCTCCTTAGTTCTGATCGTCCCGATCAGAAACGACAACGGTGTTACTGTTGTACTTTATGAAGCGGCCAAAATGGACAATCTTCATTTTTCTCTTCGGCCCTCGTCGAAACTTGTAGACGACATCATTGATTCTCGTCACGACAGTCTTGCCGGCAACGGACCCTAATTTTAGAAAGCGTCTTGTTGATTCCAAAATGAGTACCAGAACTCCCATTGTGCATCTCTCGGAGTACTTCCTTAATTCTGATGGCCGGAACCACCAACTGCATAGTGACATGCCTTCCATCCGGACTCTCTCGCCTAAGCAACCCGTTCTCGACATGCAAGGAGTCCCATTGGGCCTTGAGAGGGTGACTCGTTTGATATCTCCGACTAACCTGGTCGTTCTACACCATCTTCTTTCCATCTGAGGAGCGGTCCAATATCCACGTCTTCCTCCTGATCTTTTCTACACCCAGCTGTAGTCCATTTATCATCTATGACTGTTTTTTTCCTGCGGTTGAACCGTGCTTTGGGCTGCTCAACCTCGTCGCAGTGTTTGCAGTTCTGATAAGCGACCAATCTTGCAGGCTTCGTTTCAATACAACATTGATTCAGCTTGAACTCTTCATTTCCAAGACGTAGGACTTCCCTTACTGGATCACTTGTCAATCGATGGCGTCTAACCAAATCCATTCCAAAAATGAAGTCATCCTCGATGACCACGAGAGCCCGATGTCTTACCCTCAGCATGATCGACGTGGATTCTCCAGTTACAATTTTCAATCTGATGCTTTCGGGTATAGTTTCTACTTCTTCAGCTCTGACGAGTCCTTTACGTACAATTGATACCTCAGCGCCAGTATCGAAGGTGATTGCTGTTGGATTTTGATAAATCTTTCCCGGTATAGTTGAACCACTACCTCTGGGAAAATTTCTTATTTTCACTTCGCTGGCGGTCTTATTCTCACCAGTGAACCCATTTCCCAGAGTACTGGCGCCTTTTACATCTCGGTGAGATTTCTGTTGTATGCTTTTTCTTGGAACTGGTGATCGAGCATGACAATTACGTTTGAGATGTGCTTGGCGCCCATCCCTATAGCATTCCATGCTTTGCTTACAAGATACATCATTCTTCCGTCTTCGAAGAAGACCATCTATTTTCTGCAACAATTTTTCCAGCAGCTTCTCTATCTTGTTTTCTTCTTTCTCTCGTTCTGCTACGCTGACTTTGTAACAAGTTCTAGAAGAATTGTACGCCGCCTCCACTTCCAGCGCACGAATCAAGGCCTCAGATGATGTCTGATACGTTGATACTTGTAGGATCTTTTTAACTTCACCGTCGCGAATGCCATTTACAAAAGTTTCTGTAGCAAAACTCTCTTGAAACGTTGGTGGTGTGTCGGAGTATGCAAGACGTACCAGTCTCTTGACATCTGCTTCAAATTCTTAAAGAGATTCTCCAATTTTCTGGATGCTTGTCATCACTTGGGCTGCAAAACCCTGTCTCAGATGTGCTTCCCAAATCTAAGTTTCAGAGCAACAGTTAGGGCACTGGATCTGTTTCTATCTTCTTCGGGCAGAGTTTGGAGTATCTCTTAGCGCTGCTATTACCAAGCTGCTGCCTCAAACTGCGTTTTGTACAATGACCAAGGTGTCTGACCCTCATAGGTGTGTGGTTGAATCGTTCTGGGGGCCGACGTCACATAACCTGAACCAGTCGTTGCTGCATTTTTTATTAACATTTCGAACATTTTTATTTTGTTCTCCATTCTATCTTCTATATTTTTCATTCGATCTTCCATGCATTCAAGCACTGATTTCTCTAACTCACTTTTAACAGATGCTGTATTGAAATCATATTTCGTCCGACAATATTTTCCATATTTTCCAAATTTGTTTTCACATCCTTCATTTCTTCTTTGATGTCATCTATTTCATTCTTGTTTGCTTCCATGTCCTTTTCGAATTTTTCAGTTAGGCTAGTGTGATTATGTCATCTTTTTGCTTGTCTAATTTTGCGTCCATCTTTTCGTTCATTTCTTCTATTTTTGCGTTCATTTTCTCGTCTCTTGCGTCCATCTTCTCATCCATTGTTTTGTTTCTTGCATCCATTTTTTCGTCCATTTTTGTTAGCATAGCCATCATCTGGTTTACCTGATCCTCCATTGCTGCTGCAGTGTGAGCTCTCGTCTCAACAGGCACAAATTCTTCAGAATTCTTGTCCAATCTTCCCTGAAGTCATCGTAGAACCAGTTATTAATCTCAAATCCCATTCCTGACACCAGTGTTACGATGATTGGTGAATAAAATCGGCATGGGTTAAACTCAACAATTTATTTCTTCGTAACTCAAATTTACACGACTAATTACACAGCGATTATGTACAAGATAATTCCGGCGTAAGTTGTCTGGATTTTTGTGACACTCGCTGGACTCAACTCGTTGACTGAATTGGCTGAATAATCCGTTCCCCAAGGGGGGCTCTATTTAAAGCCATACTTCCCTTCTAGAAGTTCCGCAGTCGAGGTCTTTCTGAATTACCTATCGCAACTTCCGCTTCCAAGCTTTTCTTTAGCTAACGCCACCCGGACGCCGTTACCGACGATGAGTCACCGTCGTCGTACATACTAGAAGCTATAGGGATCGTACCGGGGCGACGTATGGGTTTCTTTTGTAACGGTATTCACAATCTCTAAAACTGTGATAACGCATATTCTGCAATAGTTTATAAGAAAACATTTTTTTTTTCTATACTAGATATGTTACTATGTGTAATATCGTATTATTGTTTCAGAGATCGGTTCAGGACAGTCATTAACGTAATGGGAGATGCTTTTGGAGCTGGTATAGTACAACATCGAAGTGAAAAAGAACTGAATGATTTGCGAAGTGATCCGTGACGGATCTGAATTAGTAAGAAAGAGCAGTTGAAGAAAGCTGTTAGATATATTAATTTTTATCTAATACTGTAATACTTATAAAATATAAATACTTAAATAAAAATGCTGTCATTAAACTGATTGACTCACAGGTGACAACATTGTCTATAAATTGTGAATAAAATACTCTCCCGTATACTGCGAGAATCTTAGATGTGGTCAATATTATTGATAGTTATTTTATTATCCAATGCTTTCATGGGCATATTTCTGATTTTAAATTGGATCTAGACAATTATGCGATGATGATAACAGTCGGTGGCGAAACATCTTGCGTTATATTTGGATGTCTGCCTGGAGTGCCTGCCGTTTTTGTCTGGACCGATTGTCGTTAAATTTTGTACGTATATTGGGAATATCATGTAGGTAGATGGTAAAACGCTAACCAAAATTTGTCTAACCATCTCGACCGCCAATAGTATGACGCCATTTACAAAATTTACAGCAGTCATTTTTTTAATTTAATAAAATAAAATATTCAGGAATATTGTGGTATAGAAATCCGTTTTGAATTTTCAAGATTTTTGAAAAAAAAAAAAAAAATTTGTAGGAGTATAATAATATATTTTATTTTCAAACGTCATATGACTGACACTTATATGACGGTCTTACCGGGGTTTAAGTGTCATTTCTATGACACCGTGTTTGAGCGGCGCATAAGTACTACTTATACTCCGCCGGCGTATAAATAAAACATTTATACTCCGCCGGAGTATAAATATGTGAAAATCATAGTGGTTGTCAACCATAGTAACCATGGTAAGTGAAATCAAGGCAATTCCTTAATGAAGCAAGAAGATGGGAAATAATCATTTCAAAAGAAGATTAATCGTTTGAAAATAAAATATTGTATTTCATTCGGAGTTTAAGTGACTTTATGTGACTCGTATGAACTTAATTCGCCTCGCTATTGCTCGGCGTTTAATCGTCCATACTCCGTCACATAAAGTATCACTTAAACTCCTAATAAAATAAATATCTATTGTACGACCATCGCTTTTTCGATCATTTACCGTACAGGTTTCCATAGCAGTAAGTTTAGTTTACGGGTTGCAACGACTAACAACTAAGAAGCGAACGGTAAGTATAGTATATTACATACCGAGGCGGAAAGTATTCCATTACTGTCGAGAGAACTATAGTTTACCGAGAGGCGCAGCCTCGAGGTGAACTAGTTCTCGAGACATAGGAATGGTACTTTTGCCGAGGTTTGTATGCTATTTTATTCACAATCGTTTTAATTATAGTTTTAAAATAAATAAAAATGTCCCAATTTAAAACTTTGATTTCTGTTTAATATGAGTCACTCAGCAGGCGTTGGAAAATACAAAAATTGACATAACTTGACAGTCTTCACCATAAGCTCTCCTTATAGTTATTTATAATCGCTTATTTCCATCTATCACTAATTACACATACGTAATGTTTTAAGGTCGAAAGTGACATTCATTTCCATCTCTTGGGTGGAAAGTGACAGTTACTTTCAGCTCTTGGGTGGAAAGTGACAGATAAGTGATATATGTCACTTTCCACCCTTGAGATTGAAGTGAAGTATGTAATAGCTCACTTCCAAACTTTTAAAAAGTTTGAAAGTTTCACATTACTGACCGATTGTGAATAAAATTACTTACTGTTCAGCTGAACGGTAAGTAATCATGCATTCAAGATTTTTTTTATTTGAAATTCCATGTGTGTTCGACTTTGATATTTTCGCTTTTAGCATCACTTATGATTGGATATTTTAAGCAAATAAATCACTCACTTATAGTCGCTGAAAGAAAATTAACTCGAAATCAAGCCAGATCAAATCTAAATCGACAGCGGTCAAAATGGAAACTGATTTTTAAAATTGTTGTTTATATTAATCGAAACCATAGTAACAAATTTTAAATAAAAAAAAAGATCTTGTTGATGTTTGATATAAATTCTTTCAATTTATGAATTTGATAAAAAGACGCAAATCTTTTGATGGTCGTACAAAAAATAGTATAAGCATCACGAACGTTAAGGGGGTTTACTGGTCTCAGACAAATTGGAGACGTCGCTTCGCTCCGTCTCCAAACTTTTGCCTTCGACCAGTAAACACCCTTTACCGTTCTTAATACTTAATATACTATTGCGATTTAGCTTTGAAGCTGCCGAATGCACCGAAATCGTGCAAACGTTTTAGGCTTACCGTAATCATGGTAGACGTTAGCCAAAATTTATTCATTTACCTCTTCCGTGTAGGATATTGAGATAGGTGTATTAAGTCTTGCGGGAGCAAGGTGCGCGCTGCGTGTGGTGAAGCAGCGCGGAGAGGACAGACAGATAAAAAGAGGCAAATGGCAGCGGAAGAATTGTACTAACAAGTCCCTGTTAATAAGTTGAAGAATAAACTTTTTTAACTTTATTTGATCTGTTTGTCAAAATACACAACAAAAATTGGTGACGTCCTCTCAAAATTTTGCCGAATAAATCCCTCTCTGAAATATTCAAAATATTATGATTCTATACTCGTGGTTTATCAATACACTCATAGTCTTTAGAATTAGTTATACAAGGTGACTAAAAAAATTAATTAATCAATTATTTTATTGATTAAATCAAGAAAGACTTACTCCATTTTCCCGTAAATTTGGGAATACAGCATTGTTATTACCTAGATATTAGTCGTACACTTATCGGAATTAATATAGGTACGCACGTGTCCTTGTTAAAATGTTGAAGACGTCATCACAAAATTTTGTAATGGAAAAACTCACTTGCAGCAAATGCGTAGCACGCTTCTTTTCATTTACTATTAAAATTCCAAGATTACTAAGAAATACTCACAATAACGTACCTTCGTACTTACAATAAAATATTCTTGGAAATTTAATTTTACTTTTCTACCTATTTACAGAATATGCCCAATGCGTACGAATTTTTATGGAAACAGGAATTTAAAAATAAGAGTAAGAATTATGGTCGGAATTATATATATGAACAAGCATTTTTTTGTTGTGTGTATTGCGAGTAAAGATCTCAACAGTCTCTGACAATGATTATATTAATTTATTTTAAAACACACATTTGGCTTTTTTCATTTCTTATGACAGTAAATTAGGTTAAATCACATATCAAAAATTCTCTTTATGCTAAAAAAAGTAGGAGGTGCTATTTAAAAAATTATCGATGACGTCATACACCTGTCCAATATCTCTCAAAACTTTTGAAACTAATATTACAAAATGGCAATTTTTATATATCAGTAGACGTGTTTTTGCGTTTTTACTTCTCGAACGTAAGCTAAGAAATATTGTTTGTTTTCTTTCATAGTAGATAAATGTTTTAGTTCTTTACTCTGCTCTACCTGCAAGCCGGGATACACTTCCCCCCGCTGACAATAGCAGTAATAAAACTAGTTATTGTAAACGAAGTGAACGATTTTAACCCTTAGAGATGAGTGACAGCTGTCATAACGAGGTAGCATGGGTGTTTTACAAGTTGCATATCTTTTAAAATAGAAATTTTCTTGAGGTGTGGTGGAGCCTTAAACATTACATACCTACATATCTTTATTTTAACTTATAGGGGTTCTCTGGATTTGTTTTACTGTACTTCAAGGGCGAGGGAAGCTCTGTGGAAATAACCTTCGGCCAATTTTTTTACAGATCTATTCGTACAACATTTTCACTTGCCCTGCACTAACTGTTTCATGTAATTCACTGATAAATTTGTATTCAATAATGCTCACGTTGTTAGAATTTTCATACATTTTACTCCATTCCTGCTGTTCTGTGAAATTTCTTTCTTATTAGGGCAGTTTAATAGGTATGGTAATCTTCAGCATACGTGTGCATTTGTAGAAAAATGGAATGACATATTTTATGCACAATTTTGTGGTTAGTTTACATAAATGACGATGACAGAATTTTAACCTTGGCGATAAACACGAATAGAATAGTAATTAAGTTGTTTGTGAAATGCAAAATTTAAATAAAGACTTAGAAACATGAAATTATCAACACTTTTAATATTTTAGTAAGGGTTAATAAATAATAATTGATGTCTGAATTAGTTGTATTCATGTTATATTCCTATTGAAACAGAACTTTTTTTTCATAGGGTAGTTTATATGGTTTTATTTAACTTTGACTGTAATTTTTTTGCATTTTTTATTCTTTGGAAAGTAGTTTTTATTTGAAAACAGCTTAGTGGGTTTCATGACCCTTATCAAACGTGTAATTATTGCATTATTAGTTTTTTGAAGATCGTTTAAACCATATCTAATTAGAAAAAAGAATTTGTTTTACTTCAGTAACCTACTGGATTTACTATTAATGGTACTCCAAATTTCTTCACGTGGTGTAAGAGTCGCAGTCAAACAAATTTAGGATCGTAAAATTTTAATGGTTACTAAATTCGTCCATCGGACGAATGGTCACTTTTATATTTTCTCGATGTTTCATTACCCCTAGAGTACAAAAAAAGTAGTCTCCCGTTTCCGTTTGGGGGTTGGTCTGTCTGTATCCATTTCATAATCTCCGAAACTACAAGACTGATTATTGTCAAATTTTGTATGTATATCAGGAATATCATGTAGATGATTAAATAACCAAAATTTCTTTAATCATCCCCACCAATAACGTGACGGCGTCCGTTCACAGTTTTTAAAAATAAATATTTTTGTTATTTTATAAAATCATATACTCATACTCATTTTTCATTCTGGTTACTTTTTTTTTTTAATTAAATCAAGAAGTTCACCCCATTTACTCGAAAATTACAGTAATGTTACAACGCAAATAGTTTTTATTACAATAACAGCTCCCCACCCAAAATAATTTTTGGACAGTTTTGCTGTATTAATCAGTCCACTCCTCTGTAAGGTGACAAAATGAATCAACTTTCATTTTCTCTGATGCGGCCGTTGATGGCTGTATGTGATGATAGTCCAATTCTTTCGACGTATAAACACAAATACTAAAAGTTAAGCACGTAACTACTAATAAGAGTTCATTTTCCTGTTGGTTATCTGGTTTAAATAATATATTTTCTACCGTTAACACTAAATAAAAAACGCAAAATCATATTTTATAA